AGCCCCTGGAAAGGGATGTTATGCTTGGGAGGGTGGAGGGACAGTGCAAGAGAGCAAGACCCTCAATGAGATGGATTGATTTAGTGACTGGGTTAATAGGGGTGGGTGTTTCAGAGACAATTAGATTGACACCGTATAGAGCAAGGTTTAAGGCCATTGTGCATAGGGTTGCTATGAGTCGCGCAGGTGAATAGACGGTACATAACAACATAACAGCACTACCATAGGTGTTGACTGTGGATCCCAGTAAAATGAAATCATTGACAACTTCACTCTTTTCTCTATGATGATGTTGCCTGCTAGTGCAGCTGTAAGGATTTTTGTTTTGTTTTACTTGCAACCCATATTGAAGGCTGTAGATATTGATATTCTGTCGCAACTGTTTCAAGTCTTCTTCACTTTCAGCAAGCAAGGTTGTGTTATCTCCATAATGCAGGCTGTTGATGAGTCTTCCTCCAATCCTGTTGCCACACTCTTATTCATACAGTCCAGCTTTTCAAATTATTTAAATAGATACAGAAAAACAGACTGAATTGTTATACAAAAAAGATACATCCCTGATGCATACCTTCCCTGATTTTAAACCATGTTCTATAACTGCCTCTTGGTCTATGTTTCGGTTTTGTATGAGCACAATTAAGTGTTCTGGGATGTCCAGTCTTCTTAAAGTTAGCCATAATTTATAATCTACACAGTCAAATACCTGTGCATAGTCAATAAAACTTCCTGCAAAGTAACAGATCCATATGGTAAACAATGACACCAGAGAGATATTTCCATCCTTAGATCAAGCAACCAATATTTGCCCAGAGACAAGGCTTAGAAAACAAGAAAGGTGAAAATTAACGGAATCAAGAATGACAGTAAGGATATGGAAAAAGTGCTATTACAATGTGTGGATTGTAATTAAGGTCATACAATAAAATCTGTATCGATGAACGGGAAACCAGTTTTTCACTCATAGGAGCAATTAAGGAAAAAACCCTATGACTCAGAAATTGGTTCCCCTGTTTGGGAATGAAGCCGAACAAGTAGAGGAATAAAAAGCCAGTGGGGAGCTGGCCAGATTCCTTTCTTGCTCACCCACGGCATACAGAGTACACGCAATACACTTAACACTACTAAGCAGAGATGGAAGGAAAAAACCCCAAAGGATGCCCGCAAACACTCCAAAGCCAAGGTGGAATGAAAAAAACCCAGAGGATGCTCCTCATCACCAAGGGAGATCGCAGGTAAGAGGGAGTCTCCGAGGACTTTGAGATGAGGGTCCCTCCTCTAGGATGATGGTTGGGGAGCAGCATAGGTGAGCAGGCGCTGTGCAAAGTGAGTCCGAGAAGGGGTCCTTCCACCTGAGGATCCCTCTGTCAACGAGACGACGCCTCAGGACCTGGCTTAACCACCCGACGGAGTCCTCTAGGTCGCCCCAGCCTGGCCCCTTTGCAGCGAGCGAGCAGATAACTGACCCTCCTAAGCATTCACCACGGAGCGCACCCGCCACACCGGGAAGTCAGCGCTGCGTGCCCGCGATCTCGCCAGCCTAGCGCGCACGCGTTCAAGAGACTCCACCATACTACAACTGCCGGCGTTCACAGCGACGACGTCAGGTCAAGCTACGTCCCGCCCCGCGCACCAATCAACAAACACAGCAGCCAATAGACGAAGGACAACGCCCAAGAGGACCCCAAGAAGCCAATCCCGCTGGTGAGGGGGCGGGCCTACAGTAGGATAGTTCCCAGGCTGCTGGAGAAGAGTCTCTCAAGCCGCTTCTGCTCCGCCCTCTGCGATAGCAGCGAGTTTCCGGATCCCACCCCCCACAACCTCAGAGAGGTGAGTCGGCTTCAGGTGGGTCGGGGTTTGTTGTGTTGCGGCGCGAGCCTGACCTCCGTCCTAGTCTCGCAGGGGAGCTGGTTGGCGCCAGGTTGCCATAGCTACGCCCAGCCTCGCGCCCGCTGCGCTGTGCAGTCGCAGAGGAGCCTGGTGAAGGCCGGAGCTGCTGGGCCTGCGGAGCCTCGGGAACTGGGAGCAGGCAGTTCACGGCTAATCTTAGCCCCCAGATTGTGCTGTTGGAGTTTTTACCTGTTACCTTGTAGAGACAGGATGAAAGTCGGTATAAATCAAGTTGTTGGTGAGTCAGTGCCAGCCATTTGAACTTTTCCAACTCCAGTCCAGAGATCAGAGAGTTCATTTCCTCTGAGACCTTTTGTGATTGTTACTGAAATAAAAGCTGTACCCCCTACCCCATCCCTCGCCCCTGTTTCCTTTTTAGGACGAGTCTTCTTTGAAAGACAGTTCATTAATCCGGTGGAAAGACAAGCGCTTCCGATTTTCAAACACTGTTACTAGGTCTTTCGGAGTTTGGCGTGAAGTTTGGGAAATGAGATGGCCCTGGCGTCGCGCTCTCCGCATGCTCAAAGGAGCATCGTTTCTGGGTGCTGGATTAACATTCAGAAAGGTTTCTGTAGAATCATGGTCTGGAGCGTCTGAGCTGTTTGTTTCCAAGAGGGGGGAAGTCTGTTGAGCCCCTGGGAAAAGGCGTCAAAAATCTAGGTGCTTGCCATCTTAGGAGAGGTCTTTTCCCAGGGTGCAAGCAGAATTCCGTTTCGTATCGCGCAAACTGATATGAAAAATCAGTGGAGTCGAGACTGCTGATGAATTATTGACGGTAAATTAGTTCCGTATGCCTTGATTCCAGAAGGGAAGGGGAGTAGGATGACTGATCTGCCCCTTCTTTCAAAAATAGTTACTGTACAAGCTGCCTTTATCCGTGAAAGATAAAGCCATTTTGGCAAGATGCTTATGCAGGCAAGCTCCAGAACAGGGTATCAGTTGGAATCACTGATGTGTAACTTATAGTGACTAATATATGAGATATGGTGGCATGGTTGTAAAGTGATTTCTCCTGACCCCAAAGCAACCAGACCCACAAGCAGTGAAAGACAGGAGTGTCTTGTGGGATTTACAGCCTCCGAAAACCCATTGAGTAGGCTCCATCTGGACAGTGATAAGTTTTTGGAGATTGTGTGATTGTTACTATAAACGTCTACGTAAAAGCCCTTCTCATTTTCTGTACCTCAGAGCCATTTTTTTCACTATTAATTTTTTATTTCAACTTGAGTGAAAATTTACAAAGCAAACACATTTAGGGTTGGGGTTTTTTTTTTTTACATTAATTACAATTCCCACACTAACCGCACTCTTCCTGCTTTCTTCCTATTATTTCTGTTTCCATTCTTCTCTCCCATCCCTTACTATCTCTGAGCTTTCTCCCTGGGCAAATGCTGTTTTGATGTCATTTGATTGATTGTTCAAAAGCCTGTGTTACTTAACTCCTTGGTGTCACTTTAAAACTTCTCTAGTGTTTGAATTAAAGTTGAGCCACAGTGCAAGTTAATTTCCATGATTGAAGAGCCACAGACTTTGAGCCACAGTAATTCAGGTCTTTTTAATGATTTTTAGTTTCATTCCACATTTTTTTCCCATTTCTTGGAAGACTGTCTATTGTGATCTCCTTCATAGCAGTCAGTGGTGGTAGTGAGACACCATCTCCTCTGGTCTCAAGGCCAAGGAGGCTGAGTTTTGCATGGTATGTTAGTCCTTTGGTTTTTGTTTCCATGCCTCTTTGATTTTCATCATTCTTCTTTGCTTCAGATTAGAAGAGACCCATAGTTAAACCTTAGATGGGTGCTCGCTAACCTTAAAGACCCCACTCACTACTCATCACTGTAGGATGTAGAACAGTGTCGTGATCTGTCATGACAGTTGGCTTGGCTGCCTGCCCTCCCCCTCCAAGGCTGTTGTCCTAAATTCCCAAGCTCAGGAGCCCAGTACATTAAGGTGTTTGTTTATGGCCAGGAAATTCTCATCACTTTTCTACTTGATTGCTCTACCATATAAAACTATGTATCAATATCCTCAGATTTGGAAACAATCCATAGCTGACCCTCAGCAGGTTTTCAGAGGCAACTAATCAGACAGGAGGAAATTATCCATCCTCCCACGGAGTAGCTGGTGGATTCGAACCTCATGCCTTCAGGATTGTAGTGCAGATTGTTACCATCAGAGCACCCTGTTTAGCTTGCCTTCCTATTTATCTACTCACAGATTATTACTACTGATATTACAAGACTTTGTGTGCAGTAGCATTTCCCTTTGTTGTGTGTACCTCTTGTGTACTCCTCCATGCCTGCTTTTGCCTGAGTCTTGGTGTGCTGGTCACTCCCTTATCATAGGTTCCACGTCCATGGACATTTTTGACTTGCTGAATTACCTTCTTTGGTTAAGTGTCTGTTTGGGTTATTGGTCTTTTTTGCTGTTGAGGTGTTTTCTACAAATTTGAGAGATTAGTCCCTTGCTGGATATACCATTGCCAGTTAGTTTTACCCAGTGTGTTGTCATGAGGTCCTATTGAGTTGCCTCTGCCTCCTATAGACCCTGTGCACCTATGTCCTGAGCCTTCTTCACAATCTGTGCTGTGCTGGAGCCCCTGTGTTGATCCACCTCCTGGAGGGTCCTCCTCTTTTTCACTAGCCCTCCACTTTAGCAAGGGTGATATCTTTCTCCAGGGACTGACCATTCTTCATCATATGCCCTGCATCTAAGGACACTGTGACTACACTTCACCAAGGGCAGATTTGATTCTTCTTTTGACAATCTTTCATAGAACTGATATTTTCACCAACACTAAGATTCTTTAGGTTATTTTTTTTTTCACTCGTTTGGAAAAGTCTTTTGATGGTGGCATAGTTCATAATGTGTTGAGCTACTAACCAAAATGTCAGCAGTTCAAATCCATGAAGTACTCCACAGGATAGAAAGATGGACAGTCTCTTCCCATAAAGATTTAGTCTCAGAAACGGAGTTTCGGATTCATGGAGAACTGCTATAGTACCAGATAAGTGGCACTGGATTTGGTATTAGCTTAATAAGCATTGTAATACCCCTTAATAAGTCTCTTTCCTTGTACTTTTAACAGACTTCAGTTGTCCTCTCTGACACCACAAATGGCGGCTAAAATGGAGATAACGTTGAGCTTGCAGCCAGAGTCTCCAGATTCCCCCAAACAAGAAAGGCACATAATAGCAAAGTTAGAGGAGAGACGAGAGCCTGCTCTGCAAAATAACTGCCCTGATCCGGAGCTGTCCCGCCAACGATTTAGACAGCTTTGCTATCAAGAGGTGTCAGGGCCACAGGAAGCGCTCTGCCGCCTGGGGCAGCTCTGCCGGGATTGGCTGCAGCCTGAGCTACACTCGAAGGAGCACATCCTGGAGCTGCTGGTGCTAGAGCAGTTCCTGACCATCCTGCCCCCAGAGATCCAAACATGGGTCAGGAAAAGATGTCCCACGAACAGCAAGGAGATTGTGGAGCTGGTGGAAGAGTTTCACAGAGCCTCCAAGAGGCCAAAACAATGGGTAAGGAAGAGCCCCCTTTCCTGTCCCCCCAACTTCTCAGTGCATCTGGGTTGTGTTTGATCTCTGGATTCTTCCTTACTCCCTACACCTTGGTTCTCTAATAGTACTGTAAAAGGGATAGATAACCTCAAATATGTAGCTTTAACAATCCAAACTTTATCACAGTTAAGAGGCTTTAAGTCCAAGTTCAGGGTACTGACTCAGGGAAGGCTTGCTCAGTCCTGGAGCAAGATTCTTGTTTCCTTAAGCGTCTATAGGCTTATCATTCCTAGGATTTTCCCTGTGTCAAGGAGCGTCCCAGTGCAGGGGCGCAGGGTCATAGGTTATCCCCACTCTTGGCAATGCTTTCTTGGTGATAAGGAGATTCCCTGCTCTGCTTGCTTTCTTCTGTTTTTATCTGTCTTGTGAGATGAAAGGTGTTAGAGGCCACATCCCAGAGAAACTCCTTCATATACGTCAGGCCTGCAAGGAGATAGTGTTACATTTCATCCTTAATCATTTTGCAATGCTTGGTTTATCATAGCATGGGAAATCATTACGTAACTTCCACTTTACATCATTCCAGTTTTTTATTCTATTTTGTTGTTGTTGTTGTATTTTGTTATTGTTGTTGTTGTTTTGTGATATCCCATTCAGTATAACTCATAGTGACCCTATGAAAATCTGACAAATCCAAACTTTGGCCTATCCTGAACCATTCTCACCTTCCTGATATGTTCAAGCCCACGGTTACAGTCACTATTTACCCATCTTGTTGAGAGTCTTCCTCCCTTTCTCTAACCTTCTCATTATCTTTCCTTGCATGATGTCTTTTCCCAAGGACTGGTCCCTCTTGACATGTCTGTGAGACCATGTTTTACCATTCTTGCTTCTAAAGAACAACACATTTGTATCTCCTTCAAGAAAGATGTGTTTGTTCTTTTGACAGTTGATGGACTATTCCATATTCTTCACCAGCACCACCATTCAGAGACATCATTTATTTTTGTGACACTCTAATTCATTGTCTGACTTTCAGTTGCATAGAATGCAATTGCAAAGACCATGGCTCGGATTAGATGCACCTGTCTTTAAACTGACATCCTTCTCTTTAGCACTTTAGAGTGATCCTTTACAGCAGATTTTCCCAGTGCAGCAGCACATCTTTTGATTTCTTGATAAACACCATGGGTGTTTATTGTGGATATAAGTAAAATGAAATTGTTGACAACTCCAGTTTTCCTCCATCTGTCATAATGTTGCCTATTGATCCAGTTATGAGTATTATTTTGTTGTTGTTGAGATGTCCTCCACATTGAAGACTGTACTATTTGATCTTCTTCTGTAAGTACTTCATCTTACTTGGATCCACAATAAATACGCTTACTTTGTACTGTAGAGCACACTTAGACTAGCAGACATGGCATCTGAGGCTGAGATCTCAAATATGGAAACACAAAGAAGGAGGAACAGTTGTAAGCAGACATAAGTGATTGGAACGTGGTATGTGAGAAGCATGAATATAGGGAAATTGAACATTGTTAAGAAAGAAATGGAACAATAAATATTGACATACTAGGTATTGGCAAAGTGAGATGGCTTGGCATGGGACATTCTGAATCAGATGACTGTATGATCTACTATGCCAGGGATGAAAAGGTGAGAAAAAATGGGGTTGCTTCCATAATAAAAAAAGTCATTTCTAGCTCCATCTTGAAATACAATGTGGTGAGTGACAAGATAATATCCATACTCATACAAGGAAGTCCAGTGAATACCACTATCATTCAAAAATATGCACCAACAACTAGAAAGGAAATAGAAGATTTCTACAAACTTTTGCAGTCAGAAATCAATTGAACATGCATTCAAGGTGCATTAATAATAGTGGGTGACTGCATACACAAAAATCAACTCAAGGTGGATCAGAGACCTGGGAGTAAAGCCCAAAATCATAAAGTTCATAAGACACAAACTGGATCAAGCTTAGAAGCACTAGTCCAAGATATAAAGAGACTGCCAAATATAGCCAGAAATGTACAGTCTGAAGAGGATAAAATTGATGAATGGGACCTTCTAAAGATTAAATCCACGTGTACATCAAAAATTTTTTCCAACAACGTGAAAAGAAAGCCTACCGACTGGGAACAAACATTTGGTAATACCATCTTAGACAGAAGTCCTATAATGAAAGTTTACAGAATACTTCTGGGCCTCCACAAGAAAGAAGACTAATAACCCAGTTACAAAATGGGAAAAAGACATGGAAGGAATTTCCACAGAGGAAGATATTTGGCAAACAAACACATAAGGAAATGCTCAAAATCACTGGCAATTAGAGAGATGCAAATCAAAACCACAATGAGGTGCCATCTCACTCTAGTAACAGTGGCAATGTTTAACAGGGCTGCAAGTAATAAATGTTGGAGAGGGTGTGGCAAGAAAGGAACTCTTACACATTGTTGGTGGGATTGTAAAACGGTACAACCATTCTGGAAGGCAGTTTGGCGCTTCCTAAAAAATTGAACTTAGAAATTCCATATGACCCAGCTATTCCACTACTTGGAATATCCCCTGAGAAAATGAGAACTGAGGCACAATTGGAGATTTGTACACCAGTGTTCATAGCAGCATTATTCACCATCTCAAGAACATGGAAACAGCCCAGATGTCTAACCACAAGCGAATGGATTGAGAAATTAAGGTACATTCACACAATTAAATACTATGCAGCACGCAAGAGCAATGATTTTGTAAATTATTACATAACTTGGGAGATACTGGAGAGCATTATGCTGAATTAATTAACTCAGTCCCACAGGACAAATATTGTATAAAACCATAATTGTAGAATGAGTATAAGGATCCAAAGAGGGTGGGGAGGCTGAAAGCAGGGGGATGAGGATGTGCAGGGGGCTAGAGGGATTAATCATGGAGTCGTATAATTTGATGGGAGGGAGGGTGAGGAAAATTGGAAGAATCTGTTCTCAAAAACAGTATATTCAAATTTTGTAAATAAGTGTTTTAAAAAAAATGGGCGATTGGACTGCTAGGTTGGGAACTGGGAAGAAGGATCAGTATTTGGACTTGGTGACAGAAATGAAGCTGGAGATAGAATGATAGAATTCTGCACATTCTTTATAAGAAACTCAAACATGGGCTATACCCGTGGATTTCACCTGATGCTATGGATAGGAATCAAATCACTTACTTACATCTTTGGAAAGAATCATTGGAGAAGCTCAATATCAACTGCGAAAACTAGGCCAGGTGCTGATTGTGGAACAGACAACCAACTACTTATATGCAAGTTCAAGCTGAAGTTGAGGGAAATTCAATCCACAGGAACCAAAATTTGACCTTGAGTCTAAACCACTCGAATTTCAAAACCATCTCAGGAACAGGTTTAAGGCCTTAAACACCAGTAAGTGAAGACCAAATGAGCAATGGGAGGATATCAAGAATATCATCCATGAAGAATGCAAAAGATCATTACAAAGGCATAAGAGGAAGGAAGGACCAAGATGGATGTCTCATGAGACTCGGAATATTGCACTAGAGCGCTGAGAAGCCAAAGCAAAGGGAAGAAATCAAGACATTACAGAGCTAAACAGATTTCAGAGGGCAGCTTGAGAGGTCAAAGCAAATTATTATGATGAAATGCACAAAGAGCTGGAGTTAGAAAATCAAAAGGTCCAAACTCACCCTGCATTCTTAAGACGAAGGAATTGAAAAACAAATTCAAGCCTCAAGTGGCAATACTTTGGGCAGAATATTAAATGGTTCAAAAAGCATTAAAAGAAGATGGAAGGAGTATACAGAGCCACTGTACCGAAAGGAATTGACACAGAAGAATTTCATGAAACAACGTATGAGCAAGAGCCTGTGGTGGATAAAGGAAGAAGTTCAGGCTGCTCTGAAAGAATTGGCAAGAAAAAAAGGCCCCAGGAATTGATGGTATACCAGTTGACATATTTCAACAAACATCACTACCCTGGATATGCTCACTAAGTTGTGCCATGAAATCTGGATTACAACCACCTGGCCAGCTAACTGGAAGAGATCTATATTCCCATTCAAAAGAAAGGTGACCCAGCAGAGTGTGGAAATTATCGAACAATATCATTAATACCACATGCAAGCAAGATTCTGCTGAAAACAAGTGACTGGAGCAGCACATCAGCAGAGAATTTCCAGATGTGCAGGCTGGGTTTAGAAGAGGCTGTGGTCCTAGCTATTATAGCTAATGTTAGATGGATCTTGGCTGAAAGCAGAGTATGCAAAGGTGTTTGTGGATCACAACAAACTGTGCCTGCCTCTGAGAAGAATGGGAATCCCAGAACATTTGATTGTGCTTATGCAAAACCAGGTGGCAGTCATCAGAACAGAGCAAGGAGACACTGCATAGTTCAAAATCAGGAAGGGTGTCCACTAGGGATGTATTCTGTCTTCATACCTTTGCAATCTGTATGCAGAACAGATCATTCGGGAGGCTGGGCTGTATGAGGAGGAATGTGGCATCAAGATTGGAGGAAGATTCATCAACAACCTGCATTATGCAGATGACACAACCCTGCTTGCTGAAACTGAGGAGGACCTACTGCACTTGCTGCAGAAGGTCCAGGACTGCAGCCTTCAATATGGATTGAAGCTCAACATTAAGAAAACAAAGATTCTCACCACTGGGCCAATTGGCAGCATCATTGTGGATGGTGAAGAGATTGAGATTGTTAACAGTTTCCATTTGCTTGGCTCCACAATCAGTTGTCTTGGTACCAGCAGCCAGGAAATCAAGAGAAAAATTGCATTGGGAAAGTCAGCTGTTAGGGACCTCTCCAGAGTACTGAAAAGCAACGAAGTCATTCTGGAGACTAAAGTGCACTTCATCCAGGACTAGGGATGATAGAGAATTGATGCTTTTGAGCTGTGGTGCTTGAAAAGAGTGTTGAGTATACCATGGACTGCCAGGAAAATAAACAAGTTCATCCTAGAGAGGTTGAAGACATCCTGCTTCTTGGATG